TTTGCTTATTGCGCAAATCTCACAGCAACAATTACTGTATTTCCGGACGGTAACTGAAAACGGATTCCGAATTTCACTTTGCAGTTTTGATTTCGAATTTCAATTTCGAATTTCAATTCCGGTTTTAATTCTTTGCTATTGTTGTTGTTGTTGCTACTGTTGCTGCTTCTGCTGCTGCTACTTTTGCTGTTGAGAAAAAAAATGAGCCAGGAACGACGATACCTCTCACAACTTTATGTTGTACCTGCAGTTGATGCTGTTGATGCTGGAAAAGGACAACTGGAAATCAGTGTCAATCAAGGAAAAGTACCAAATAACGTACAGATGCAGGGTGCCGGTCGTTGTTTGGTAACATTCATTCCACAATATCCAGGCAAATATGTCATTGATGTGACATTCAATGGTGAACAAGTACAGGGTATGTTTATCTAATAATTTTGCCTTTTTTCCCATGCATATAATAAATATTTGCAGTCTCAGAAAGGAAAGGAAAACAAACAGTGCTACTACTACTAATATTCATTTTTTGTGAATAAATGATTTTTCTAGTATATGATTACTAGAGAATTTTTCCCATGCACTATTTTAGACAACATTTGATGTCATCCTCTTCTACCTTGAATTTTATCATTTTTTTTTAAAAAGTGAATTATTCTCTGAACGGCTATATGGAATTATGTGGTTGAGAGAAGTCCGAATTAGAGAAGAATGGCGAAGTTGTCAGTGGCGCTTACAACTGTCATTCGTTGGGCGGCTACTTGGAATCATGTGAATAAGAGAGACTCAAAGTAGGATGGGACAGGGAAATTGTCAGCTGCTTCAGTGTTGAGAAGAAATGCGATGATGAAATAACATTTAAATGAAGCATTTGAACAATTTGTAATAAATGCTTAAACAATAGTGAGCTTATCATAACTAGTAGTGGAAAGACATGATAAGTTATATAACTATATGCAGAGGAAGAAGTGAGGTGAAGAATAAAAAGCTAAAATTAAAAATGATTGAATTGGAATGTTTCGGTCTATTAAGTCATATACGCTCCAAAACAATATATGCCAAGACCGCTCGGAATCATTCCTTTGTTCCCCCCTCCCCACCTCGCCTGCCCCGCCCTGTTTCTAGAATCAGTTTCATATGTTCCGGATATCGATGAAAAGGCGTACACTGAAGACCTATTAATAAACAATTGCCAGTTATGTTAACGGTTCTTGAAAGTACCATCTCCTCCTGCATAATTGCTTTTTGATGGCAAAAAATGCTGCACGGCAACTTCTGCTGTCGGATTTAATAATTTGCAGCGCTGGTAGAGCGTAAAAGTCGGAAAAAATAGCAGAAGTAATAATGTGTGGCATATTCAACATTATTAGAATATTTAACATGATGTGCTTTGCAGGCCCTCGCCTGATTTTCTCGCCCAACTTCACCACCTTAAATATTGTCTGGAGAGTTAAAATTGATTAAAGCTCAGCGTAGAACTCTTCCACTTCATTGTCACCGATGCCGCGAAAAAGGCAAAGTTTTAATGAGGGTTAAAATTGAGTCGATACAGAAGCACACTGATTCAAAATTGAAATTGACTTTTCTCCTTGCAGTAAACGCGGTTCCGCCAATAGGATCTGTCCTTTCCGAATTCGATATGTATTATTATTCATATAATTTGACAAATTCCTGAAGGAAAAAAGTTGCGGTATTTATTAACATAATGTGATATAATGAGTAGTTAACGGTATAATTGACGGCCGAGGCAAAATTATAGGACGGAGAGATATGTCGAACGAGGGGATATGTGTCAACTACGAATCACATCTTTTGTTAGTGTAGCTTTTTCTCCCTCTCCCTTAATTATATATCCAGGATCAATGGAACTGGCATATCTACCCTCAGAACGTGAGGATATCTTAGTAACATTACAGACATGAAACCCACGCTGTCTGGGCGGTCTTAGTATTCTTGGAAACAAAAATAGTAGCAATAATATTAATGGAATTAATAATATTAACAATATAAATAATAACATTAATGATAATGATAATAATAATATTGATGACAGTATTAACAATATTAATCATAGCGTTAACAATATCATTGATAATATTAGTAATGATGTTAATAGTATTACTAATATTAATAATATCAGTATGAAAATTATAGTGCTGAAGATTGATTGCAAGTAAACTAAACGATTTACATTGGCATCCTTCTGCCATCAACGCAGTTAGCAACTTCTCCAAAGTTCTCCATGCTTACCCTTCTCCAAAGCAGTTCAGAGTTATTGTAGCTGAATTAATTAATTAATTAGCCAGTTAGTTTTACTAATTAATCACAATTAAAAAATTCTTTATTCTCTCTCGCTACTGTCAAAATTTCATTTGCGCAGTATTCTGAAGCTTAAACCCCTCCCCACCCCTCCCTGTTAGTTCTATTGGAAGCAAATAAGTCCTCTGCAAAGGGCAGTCATGCTCTAATTCTTCTTTTTATAATTACTTGGTTATCAGAAAGCGATAAACTGCAGCAGTTTTCCTTTTTTTTTGCAGGGGAAAACTCAAAATTATTAAATGTTTTAAAAGATTACGAATGACACGATAATTTAACAATTGTTTACCGAATTGTTCGTTATTTCCTGTTTTTGATAAGTGCTAAAATGACAAATTTCTTTCAAAAATGTGCATTTTTCTTTTTACAGAGTTCTTCGGATGTTCCAGTAATTTCCTCATTGATTTTTTTCCAGTCAATTTGACTAATGGGGAAGTAGACGGGGGAGGGGGTAGGGAGAGGGGTACATATATAAGCGACCAAAAAAAAGAATTGCTAAATTATCACAGTAACATCACTAACATGAGATACCTGCTGCGCTGATTATCGGTATTGCCTTGGTGTTCTTGCTAATTAAAAAATTTAAAAAAAATAACTATATTCAGTATACTTACGGGAAA